GTGGGAGTATTTAAGATGGAGAAGTTACGGAAAAACAGTCTTGACGACAAAAGAGGATAGAGACACAGTACATGTAATAATATTTAATAATTCTGGTATGTTACAAAATGTACTAAAGTTTGCAGACACACTTAACACATAACTACTCTGTCCACCATAGTTCAAGATTAAGAGAAGTTTTTTTGGTCAGTATTTAGCTCCAGGGGATCAAAGTAAATCAAACTGTAAAGGGAGGAAATGTCTCTCAGACACCCTCCCCCTGCCCCCCCTTTTTTTTACAACCCCCCTTTTTTAAAGTTTGAAGTGTTGTTGCTTCTGTGTCTGCAATAATAATCATTCTTTAAAATAGGTGGTTGAAAAGAAAACTAAACCATACATTCAAGTTGATATTGGAGGTGGGCAAACGAAGACTTTTGCTCCTGAAGAAATATCTGCCATGGTTCTCACTAAAATGAAGGAAACCGCTGAGGCTTATTTGGGAAAGAAGGTAAGTTTCTCTAGAACATGTTAAATATTTTTATTATTCGTGTTCTTGATTGTGTTGTATAAATGCCTTCATTTTTTTATAATTTGAATCTGAATGGCATTCATGTATTATAAGTTTTAATTACATGCATACTTTACTGTAGGCCAAACAAAATGCCAGGGACTTTTCCTGGGTATAAAATTACATATATTATGCCCATCTTAAAAATAAACTAGCTTAGAAACTAAAGTGATGATTTGGCTGTAACTTAAATAAGGGTAAAGCCATGTGATAAAAGACAATTACCTTTTGTTATTTTTTTTAGGTCACCCATGCAGTTGTTACTGTACCAGCCTATTTCAATGATGCCCAACGCCAGGCAACCAAAGATGCTGGGACTATTGCTGGATTGAATGTCATGAGGATCATCAATGAGCCGTAAGTGTTAAATTCAAAGGCATGGTATAGTTGCTAAATAGAGAAATTGTAAACTTATCTAACTTATCTGAACTTTTTTTTTTTAATTCTCCTAACAGGACAGCAGCTGCTATCGCTTATGGCCTAGATAAAAGGGAAGGGGAGAAGAACATCCTGGTGTTTGACCTTGGTGGTGGAACCTTCGACGTGTCTCTTCTCACCATTGATAATGGTGTCTTCGAAGTTGTGGCCACTAATGGGGATACTCATCTGGGTGGAGAAGATTTTGACCAGCGTGTCATGGAACACTTCATCAAGCTCTACAAAAAGAAGACTGGCAAAGATGTTAGGAAAGACAACAGAGCTGTGCAGAAACTCCGGCGGGAGGTAGAAAAGGCCAAACGGGCCCTGTCTTCTCAACACCAAGCAAGAATTGAAATTGAGTCCTTCTTTGAAGGAGAAGACTTCTCTGAGACCCTGACTCGAGCCAAATTTGAAGAGCTCAACATGGTACGCTCCTTGTTTTTGCTTTGAGATCTAGTAAGATTGAGATGATGCATTTAGAAATCTAGACAATAAGTCAGTATACCAGGCATCATAATAGTAATTATTGTCTTTTATTCTAGGACCTGTTCCGCTCTACCATGAAGCCTGTCCAGAAAGTGCTGGAAGATTCTGATTTGAAGAAGTCTGATATTGATGAAATTGTTCTTGTTGGTGGCTCCACTCGAATCCCAAAGATTCAACAACTGGTTAAAGAGTTCTTCAATGGCAAGGAGCCATCCCGTGGCATAAACCCAGATGAGGCTGTAGCTTATGGTGCTGCTGTCCAGGCTGGTGTACTCTCTGGTGATCAAGATACAGGTAGGTTAATGTTGCAAGCATCTTTCACAGTGCTTCAGCAGCTTGATGGGAAGAGTATAATTAGCTGTTGCTTTAGAAAGCAATAGAATATGAGCAACAAGGTCACATACCTGGTAAAGGGTACAGTGAGGTCAAGACCTGGTGCACTTTTAAGATCCTTAGCAACTATATTTACTTAACTGCTTCTAAAATGGTTTTGTATAGAACCTAACCAAATAGAAAGACAGAGAAGATAAAGTTGTATTGGTCATGGGGAGACTGCTTAGTAATTCTATGATTCTTTAATTAGAAATTAACTCTGTCATTACCTTTGCAGGTGATCTGGTACTGCTTGACGTATGTCCTCTTACGCTTGGTATTGAAACTGTGGGAGGTGTCATGACTAAACTGATTCCAAGGAACACTGTGGTGCCCACCAAGAAGTCACAGATCTTTTCTACAGCCTCTGATAATCAGCCAACTGTTACAATCAAGGTTTATGAAGGTAATTACTTATATTTGTTAATATCATGGTATGTGTGTGAACAACATGACTTCTTGCTTTTAATATACTCTATTGAATTGAAAAGACTAGGGAAAGAAATATCTGTGTTTTCAGATGGGGGTCCCTAACTAGTGTTGAGTTTGGAATAGTTGGCATTAAAATCTAGTTCTTATCTAGCTTCCTAGCACTACTACCCATTAAAAATAATTTCTGAGCTAGCTCTAAATTTTAAGAACAAGAAAAGGGTTCATGTAAAGCCGGTGAAATTCAATTAAAAGTTAGTAGGAATGCCTGGATGGCCTGGCTCAGTGGTTCGAGTGTCGTCCTATGAACCAGGATGCCACTGTTCCATTCCCAGTCAGGGCACATGCCCACAACCCAGTGTGGGGCGTGCAGGAGGCAGCTGATCAATGATTATCTTCCATCATTGAAGTTTTCTTTCTCTCCCTCTCCCTCTCCCTCTCTCTCTCATATATATATATATATATAAAAGAGTTAGTAGGAACTTAATTCACTTAGTCCCATTTGTTACTTATAGACCCATGACACACTTCTGGCTTGATAAGAGTGCCCTTGCCACTGTAGGCTCTGACAGACTGAAATGCAAGGATCCACATGTACTAATGTTGGTCATTAACAACAAGATTTTTATGTGTAACTTCTAGGTGAACGCCCCCTGACAAAAGACAATCATCTCCTGGGAACCTTTGATTTGACTGGAATTCCTCCTGCTCCTCGTGGGGTCCCACAGATTGAAGTCACCTTTGAGATAGATGTGAATGGCATTCTCCGAGTGACAGCTGAAGACAAAGGTACAGGCAACAAAAATAAGATCACAATTACCAATGATCAAAATCGCCTGACACCTGAAGAAATTGAGAGGATGGTCAATGACGCAGAGAAGTTTGCTGAGGAGGACAAAAAGCTCAAGGAGCGCATTGATACTAGAAATGAGTTGGAAAGTTATGCCTATTCTCTAAAGAATCAAATTGGAGATAAAGAAAAGCTGGGAGGTAAACTTTCCTCTGAAGATAAGGAGACCATGGAAAAAGCTGTAGAGGAAAAGATTGAATGGCTGGAAAGTCACCAAGATGCTGACATTGAAGATTTCAAAGCCAAAAAGAAGGAACTGGAAGAAATTGTTCAGCCAATTATCAGCAAACTCTATGGAAGTGCAGGCCCTCCCCCAACTGAGGAGGAGGAACCAGCAGACAGGGATGAGTTGTAGACACTACTCTGCTAGTGCTGTAATATTGTAAATACTGGACTCAGGAACTTTCGTTAGGAGAAAATTGAGAGAACTTAAGTCTCAAATGTAATTGGAATCTTCACCTCAGAGTGGAGTTGAAAATGCTATAGCCCAAGTGGCTGTTTACTGCTTTTCATTAGCAGTTGCTCACATGTCTTGGGGTCGGGGGAGAGGAGAAATTGGCTGCCGTAAAAAGTGGATAAGAAGCTGGTTAGGGCGTGTGTTCACCGTGGAAATGTTCTATTTAACAATTGGGTCATGTGCATCTGGTGTAGGAACTTTATTTTCTACCATAAGTGACACCAATAAATGTTTGTTATTTACACTGGTCTAATTTTTGTGATAAGCTTTCTAATTAGGTCAATCATTTATTTTAGGTTTAGATTCTTATGGGGGGTGAGGGCTGGGGTTTTGAGGTAACTCTGGGAACTTGCCTAACTTCCATTTAATTCACCCATATCCTCACTTAGGCAAGGGTCATTTCACAATGCCCAAGAGTGGTGTTTTCTGGAACATGTTTGAAATGTCCTATTTCCCCTTATCCTTCTAAAACTTAACTTTCTGATGGCTTTTTATTTTTATTTTTGGATTTTTATTATTGATACTTTAGGTTGTTTGCATTTTCTTAAGACTTGAAAGAGAGATCACTGATGTTAACTTTACACACTTGAATTCATTTTAGGGTGTAAAGGTATATTTTGAACTTTACTGTCAGAATCCCCATCTGAAATTTCTCACTACCAAGGGCTACTGGAGTGGGAGCTAGGATGGTGACCTTGAAATAACATTAAGTTCCACTGCAATTGTGGATCAAAGGCAGTCATTGATGTCATGACAGGTTCAAGATTACTTGGATTGGCTTCCTGAGGAAGGGGATGGTCGTGAATAAGTAGTATGATCAATAAGGGGCAGGCTATTTGGCACTAACATGATATCCAGTAAGACCCAAGGATAACTGTTTTTAGATGGGCAACTGGCCAGAAGGTTAATTTGCTAACTGGCAGAACTGGGACCTGATGGCACGATGGTGTTACTCTGAGGCCAGAACCTTGGCTGCAATGCCCAGAAGCATTTGGATAGGCCTGGAGTAATACTTGTCTTCAGGCCAAGTTGAATACAAGCAATCACAGCAGTGCTGTGTGCAGTGGGGTTAGTGGGTAGTTGGGAAAGACGGACCAGTCTTCTTTCCTGACCCCAATGGCTCTCACTACCAAATGCCAATAGTCTGCACCTTTCTGAGGAGCAGCTACTGAATACTGAAAACACACTTGAACCTGTAAATATCACACTGATTTATACAGTTTATGTTGTACCTAACAATCATGATTTCTTCAACATTTAGCAACCAATCTCACCTAGGTTGTACTGCTGGTAAAACCTTTTATGTAACTGAGGTTTTTGCACTGGGCTATACAGTTCATTTCCTAAAGTAAAGAGCAAGAGGGTTATATAGTCAAAATATTTTGGAGTTATAAAACAGCTTAGGTTTCACTTTTCTGAGAGTAACTGACATTTAAAAGTATCAAAAATGGTGGGTTTTATTAGTCAACCACAGTCACAATACAATCATCATAGATTTCCCCTTCGGTATTCATCCCACCAAACACAAAACAGAGCAGCGAGTCAGTCTGACTTTCCTCATGTGAGTCACCATCTTGGGTCACTCCTTTGTCAGCGGAGTTCCCTTTCTCAGCATCACAGTTCAGAGTGACAGGATTTGGATCTTCCTCAGAAGTGCACGTCACTGGCCATGGAATGACACACATGCAATGGTCCAATCGTCCACGGGGTAGAGAAGTATCAAATTTAAGTAAGGTCCAATGCTGCTTCTCTATGTTAAGAACAAAAAAAAAGGAAATGAACAACAAATGCTAATGGTAGTGTTACTACTTTGATGAAGTTATTCCCTAAAAGTTTGGTTTTCATTCCCTTGGATTTAGATGTGGAGGGACCAAACAGAAACCAACGCACTGTGGTACTTTTAAAAAAATAGTCACATCTATAATAATAAAAGTGTAATATGCTAATTAGACCAGACAGCCGAATGACCTTCCGGACAAAGCCAGGGCTGCGAGGGCCGAGCCCCTTGCACGAATTCTGTGCATCAGGCCTCTAGTTTGTTTATAAAGACCCATGGCTCTGGCCACATAGCTCAGTTGGTTGGAGCATCACCCTGATACGCCAAAGTTGTGGGTTCCATCCCTGGTCAGGTCACATGTAAGACAACCAATGAATGCATAAAGCATAAAGAACAACAAATCAATGTTTCCTTCTCTCTCCCCCTTCCTCTCTCTCTAAAAATTCAATCGATAAAAAATTTTATAAAGACCCCCAGGGTACACCTACTTACCTGTGTGATATTGGTACATTGTGTCCAGTGCTCCTGTAGGAGTCATCCCTCCGAAGACATACAGGTGTTTCCCCACAGCCACAGCTGAGTGGGCAGCACAGCCTGTGGGAGCTGCCCCAGTGGGACTTAGTTTCTGCCACTTCATGTCACCTGCCAAGAGAAAGAAAGTGGGCACTCCATAGCCTGCAATGTGCTTTCAAACTTATCAGACTCCTACAGTTCACAAACCAGTCACTGCCTAGGAGCGCTGAGAGGCAATACACCAAGGTTAGTGTGCATAAAAATTACTTGGGGGGAGTTTGAAATCCGGTTTGGGTCTCCAGGAAGGGGACTTAATCTGCAGTTTCAATGAGCATTCCAGATGATTCTGACGTAGGTGGTCTTCAGAGCACACGGAGGTCACCTTTGGTGACTATCACCTTTAGGTATCTTGGAGCCCAGAAGTAGGTGAGGTTACATGTGTGTGCATGTTTTACTAGTAAATACTAACAGTTCTTTAGAAAGCAACTTTGCCAAGTACTAGCTGGACACTTTAAATATCGTGCTTGCTTAATGCTCATAAAGACCCTATGAAATTGCTATTGCTTCTGCCTACCCCCTTTCTCACAGATAACAAAACAGGATTAGAGAGGGAAAGAGACTTGTCAGAGATCCCACAGCGAGCACATGGCAGAGCTAGAATTGTGCTCGGGTCAGACTCCAAACCCTGTGTTCTCTATACTGTAACTTTCTGCCTTCCAAACTATTTCTGCATCTTTTCAAACAAGCATTTAAATGAGGCTGGGACTCACTGGATTTTGGGGTTAGAGATCCACCTGGTTAGGAAAGTAGGAAAAAGAGCCAGGAAGTAGTTTCTCCGCACAAGAGATAAGGACTTTCTTTTTAAAAGTAAGTATTTAAACCTCTTTTGACTGCCTGCAAGAAACACTTCTGTGAAGATATTTTCCATCTGTCAATTCAAGACAGGGGTCCAGAGTTGGAAGGGAGAATCACCCAGTTCTGACAAAATTCTAGTCAATGCAGGAATCCCAGCCAGTGTCACCTGGCCTCAGATGTCACCAAACCAGAGAACCCATTGTTTGGCAAGGTAGATGGATACACTGCACAGCAGTTCTCATGCCTTCTGGCCACTGTTCCAATTCTTGTAGTCTGGACCAACCCAGAACATGTTCATTTGTTCGTCCATCTATCCTTTTCTTTTTCTTTTTTCTTTTTTTATTCCATCTATCCTTTAATAGCGGTTGCCAAGCGGTGATCCTCGGATAAGCACTCATCACCAGGACACTGAGCTAAGTGCTACAAACAAAATGGAACAAAAGAGACCAAGTCCCTGTTCTAAGGAGCTCACAGTCTGAAAGAATGACCCAGAAGGAGTCCAGGCTTTCTAGGGCACGTCAGCCCTTCAGACACTTTAAGATTATTCTCATGTTCTCCCTAACTTTTCTCTTCCCTGTGTTTTTAACTAGTTAGCATGACAGTTCTGGTCACCCGCCTCCAGACACACTCTAGAACAGCGGTTCTCAACCTGTGGGTCGCGACCCCTTTGGCGGTCGAATGATCCTTTCACAGGGGTCGCCTAAGACCATCCTGCATATCAGATATTTACATTACAATTCATAACAGTAGCAACATTACATTTATGAAGTAGCAACGAAAATAATTTTATGGTTGGGTCACAACATGAGGAACTGTATTTAAAGGGCCAGAAGGTTGAAAACCACTGGACTAGAAGTTGTCGATGCCTCTCATGGGCCTGGGGTTAATGGCTAATGCCTGAAAGAAATCCAGCTGGGGAACACAAAGTGTAAGGAATTTTACTGAAAGAACAGGATTGTTGGAAGGATGAGATCATTAATAGCTAGCCACATAGCAAAAGCTCAGATGTGATTGCTTTTATTGTTATTTAGTAGTAGTAGTATTCAGGCCACATTTGACAGACTAGTAAAGATTACCCACATCTGGGATTAAGGCTATCTTCTATCAAAGCACATTTTATTTAACTTTAAGCAGACAAGCTCCCATGCCCTCCACCCTACTTACTTATATCAATGCAATGAAGATCGTCATAGAATCTGTCCCCGGCCAAGCCTCCATGGATGAAGAGCTTTGTCCCTGCTGCCACCATCACATGACCATGCCGGGGGGATGGAGGTTTTCCAAGTGTCTCTGGCTGTGACCAGGTCAGAGTGTCTAGAAAAGTAAATTCATTGATATCAGATGACAAAGCTATGAAGCAAGAACACAAGAAATACACCCAGCAAGCAGAGACGCTCCAAGCAGAACATGACCTTGGAGTCATTCACTCGGACCCATCAACCCAATCCAGGCCTCCCTCTCTCCACAGCCGTGCAGCCTCTGCTTGGCTACTTCTAGGGCTGGACATGCCTGCCCTTTCTACTGGGCATTAGAAAATCATTCCCAGGTTTCAATTTAAAAAGACCTCCATCTGGTTGAGTCCAGGTCATGTGGCTTCAAAGTTCATGCTTTCAACCACTAAGATCTACCCTTGTCCCTGCAAATGTAAGCTGCAGAACAGTATTTGTAATTTGATTCCATGTGTGTGTGTTTAATAATTTGAAAATTCATACATGTTCATATATACTTATATACATGATTTACAAATGCATAAGGAAAGTCTGGAACTGCCAACAGGGTTTACCTCTGTCTGGGGAGTGACAAAGAAAGGCTAATGGAGGAACTTTTATCTTTTTACTTCATAAACTATACTGTTCCAATTTTTTAAATTGACCATTTATACTTTTTTAAATGCAAATTTTCTGTGGGAAGAAGGTATCAGCTAAGGGTTATACTGAAGAAGTCTACCTAACCGGTTTGGCTCAGTGGATAGAGCATCTGCCTGTGGACTGAAAGGTCCCAGGTTCGATTCCGGTCAAGGGCATGTACCTTGATTGCGGGCACATCCCCAGTAGGGGGTGTGCAGGAGGCAGCTGATCGATGTTTCTAACTCTCTATCCCTCTCCCTTCCTCTCTGTAAAAAATCAATAAAATATATTTTAAAAAAAAGAAGTCTAGAAGTGAGACACTCAGTCAGGATGTCATTTTCTTTTCTTTTTTTAAATTCTCACCCAAGGATATTTTCCATTGATTTTTATTTTTTTAAAATATATTTTATTGATTTTTTACAGAGAGGAAGAGAGAGGGATAGAGAGTTAAAAACGTCAATGAGAGAGAAACATTGATCAGCTGCCTTCTGCACACCCCCTACTGGGGATGTGCCCACAACCAAGGTACATGCCCTTGACCGGAATAAAACCTGGGACCCTTGAGTCCGCAGGCTGACGCTCTATCCACTGAGCCAAACCGGTTAGGGCTCCATTGATTTTTAGAAAGAGTGGAAGAGAGGGAAAGACAGAGAGAAATATCAATGTGAGAGAAACACATCAATTATTGCCTCCTGCACATGCCCTGACCAGGGCTCAGGCCGGGGAGGAACCTGCAACTGAGTACATGCCCTTGACCAGAATCGAACCCGGGACCCTTTGGTCTGCAGGCCGACACTTTATCCACTGAGCCAAACCGGCTAGGGCCAGGATGTCATTTTCTTTTTAATACATTTTTATTGATCTCAGAGAGGAAGGGAGAGGGGAAAGAGAGACAGAAACATCAAAGATGAGAGAGAATCATTGATCTGCTGCCTCCTGCACAACCCCTACTGGAGGTCAAGCCCGCAACCCGGGCATGTGCCCTTGACTGGAATCGAACCCAGGACCTTTCAGTCCGCAGGCTGATGCTCTATCCACTGAGCCAAACAAGCTAGGGCATGGATGTCATTTTCTAACCTCTGCTTCCCACATCAGGTCAGCTGTGGACCAGGAAAGTGGCAGCCCTGTGTGGCCCACCCGTCCATACTTGCGTCAAACACATGAAGCTTCACATCCTGCACGGGCTGGGTGCCTCTCTCTCCGCCCCCAAAGACATACAGCTGGTTTCCAATGGCTGCCGATGATGTGTGGAATGTTCGTGGGGATGGTGGCGGGGTGGTCACCTCTGGCGTGGTCCAAGTCCTGGTTTCTGTTCCAAAGAGAATGAAGGCACCTAAAATAACCAGACTGAGGGGCCTCTGACCTTGACTTGGGCTGGGCAGCATCACCTTTCAAACCCCAATCCCCAAGGGGAGCAGTACAGGTCAAGGCAATGATCTCATGCCACCAAAGTCAAGGATAGGTAAGGGGCAATTTTTAGAATTTGCCCAGATAAATCCAAATCTCCAAGACTGAAAAGCCACAATTACAAGTAAGAATGAGGTCGACTTGTTTTTGGAGGCCTTCAAACATCCTCTTTGAACCCTCTTCCACTCTGCTGACTCCTGCCCTATGCCATTCAGAGGAACCCATCATCTGCCAAAAGTCATTCCCACCAGATTCTGGAAACCAAATGTGCCAAATTTCCCAAGACATATATATATATCTGCATTAAAAGAAAGTAGACAATAAAAAAGAAAAAAAGAAAAATAAAGTGTTTTTAGGGTTACAGTGTTTTTACTAGTAATTAGTCCCTACTAAATAATAAGTGCTAACTAAGCATTAGTTTTCCATTTTACAGATAAGGGAATTGAGCAGAGATAGATGAAGTCACTCATTTAAAGGTGACATGGCTAGTAAATGATTGAGTTGGGATTCCAATTCTGTTTCGATAACACTAAGATCTAAGTATCTCCCACTCTTCTGAGTTGAGAATAAAATTTTATCACCTGGGTAAGTTTATAGAAGCTTATTTCTTTTTAGAATGATGTGTGAATTTTATAGAAATTAATGCATTAATTGAGCACCTTCTTTGTGCAGAATCGTTGCCTTGAGCACTCTGCCATCCCCACTAAACTCACTCAACCATGGGAGGTGGACAGAAAGAATCTCCACTTTGCAGATGAGGGAACTGAAGTTCTTAAACCCTTTCTTCAGGTCACAGGGTTTGTAGAGTAAGGGTTTGAACTAAGATCTGTCAAGACTCCCACACTCGTTCTACCATAACACTCTTAAATCCTTTCCTCAGGTCACAGGGCTTGTGAGTAGCCGAGTAAAGGTGTGAACTCAGATCTGTCAAGACTCCCACACTCGTTCTACCATAACACACCAGGAGTTATTTCTTGCCTGGCAAATCCTGTGCCTTTTGTAAAAGTCTTCGTTCAATATACAAAGTGACCCATGAAGCATTTGTAATATGTGTGGGACTCAGACATGAACCTGGAGACCAAACGAGTCTCCGCCTATATCCAAAGCCAAATGAAAGTGTCTCTATAGATACAGAGCTTGGGGAGCTTTTGGGTCTTAGGGGGAGTTAGAAGGCCCACAACCTCCAGAGTCAGAAGGCCCTGGGATGGTGTTGCTGCCAAGTCAAACAGCAGCACACATAATCACAAGGGAGTTCTAAGCCATTTGACAGACTTGTCTTAGCAACAAAAGCAACTAATGATTCACTTTCATTTTTCACATTTCTTGGGCACCGTGTCAAACTATGCTTTCTAGGAGAGAAAAAGGATCTAGTGGAAAAATCTAACTCCTTTGACAGAGGCATTCCAAATTCTCAGTGCACTTTATTTAAACAGATGCCATCACTGAAAATCAAAAGGCCAGGGTTCTAGACGGATTTCCATCTGCCAAACTATAGCTACATTAACCACAACAACCATTATTGAGCGTTAACCTTGTGCCAGATATTGAGTTAATTTAAATCCTTGCCAAACTCAACAAGGTAGGAACTATTAATATCCCAAAGTGACAAAGAAGACCAACTATTGTGCAAATAAGTCTATTGTTGATAGAGGGACTGGGCAAGAGTTGACTGTCATGTGAAAAAATGTCCAAGTTACTAGTAATTACCAAAATGAGTATTTAAACAATCAGATACAAGATGTTTTTGCCTAATTAAATTAGCAGTGTTTAAAATGACAAATACAGTGTCAGGAGTAAAACAGCACTATTAAACACAGCTGGAGATAAGTTCAAAAAAATCTTTCTGGAGAGCAATTGGGTAGCTCATATCAAAAGCCTTAAAGTTCACAATGTTTTGCTTTTTAAAAAATTTTTCATTTCTGGGCATCAATTCTAAGACAATAATTTGAAATACAGTCAATGTCTTCTGAACAAAGAGGTTCACTGCTCTGTTATTTATAATGGCAAGAACCTAAAAACCTAGATGTTAAATAACAGGAGAATTATTGTATTGTCATAAAATGGAGTGTTATGCAGCCATTAAAACTGATGTTAACAAAGCACTGTTGTTAATAGGACATCATTTATGAAAGTAATTATGAAATTAAAAAGAAAAAAGTACAATAGTGTAGTGGTGAAAATAGTATGATCTCAGCCTTATAAAAATGCAGACAAAAGACAGAAAGGAAATACACAGAAATGTTAATAGCCTTAATGTCATAGGATTGTGGATAGTGTTTGTCCACTTACTTACACTTTTCAAATGTTTTACAATGAATATAAATTACTAGAGGTCCGGTTTACGAAATTCGTGCACCGGTAGGGTCCCTAGGATTGGCCGGCGATCAGGGCCGATCTGTGGGGTGACCAGCGGGGTGATTGAAAGCCCCCGCTGGCACCCGCCTTGGCCAGCCTGGCACCGCCCACTCACCAGCCCCCCCACCCCCCTTTCTGCTTCCAGTCCCATCCCGCGAGGCCCGGTGGGGCGATTGGGGGGTGGCGCCTGCCCACTCGCTGGCTGGCCCTGCCCCCTGATCACCCCACCACTGCCGCCACCAGTTATCTCCCTCTGCAGGGCGACCAGTGGGGCGATTGGGGGACCCCCGCTGGCACCCGCCTTGGCTGGCCTGGGGCATTGTGGGCTGGGGGCAGCTCTTGCGTTGAGCGTCTGCCCCTTGGTGGTCAGTGCATGTCATAGCAACCGGTTGTTCCACCGTTTGGTTGATCTGCATATTAGGCTTTTATTATATAGGATATGCATAAGAGAAAACAACACACTATTTTAACTGACAAAAAGACAAGTCCATCTCTCATGGGTGGTTCAGCCAAACCTGCTCAGTAATGATGTTCCTAAATTGCCCCCTCTCTGGTAAAACTGCCAGTGAGACTAGCAGGAACTTTGCACTTTTTGGCCAACAAAATATACTAGGAGGATCTAGGTTAGGCACTGTTGGCATTTTAGACAAGATAATTCGTTATTGTGGGGTGCTGTCCTGCGCATTATGGGATATATAGCAGCATCTCCGGTCTCATGCCAGTAGCAAACTGCCCCCCAACCTTCCCAAGCTGGGATAACCAAAAATGTTTCCAGATATAGCCAAATGTCCGCTGGGGAGCACAATCACCACCCTGAACTAGGTAACAGGTTCTAGCCTGGCTCAGACTCCCTAGAGACTTTAGGAAAGCCACTTCCCTGGATCTGGGGTGCCCCCTGGCATAGCTGTTCTCTGAAGTCTCTTCCAGCTTTGGCTTTTAAGAAGCTGATAACTGAATATGTTACTAGGAAAACAAAATGCAATTCTGCTATTTTCAGATTCTCCTAGAAGTTAAAATTCCTGTTTTCTCTGAGGTCAGCAAAGTTCGAGGGATAATTCAGTGCAATCCAAATGGGATTTGCTACAGGAAATGAACTGAAATTTTATTTATTTATTTAGGTAAATAAAGTAACCTTTGGCTACTTACCAGGATTCAGAACTTGTAGGCAATTTCGATTTCCTGACTGGTTGGCACCTCCAAACACCCAGATGCTGTGAGGTGTGCAAGAGGGAACGAAGCTGGCATGCTCATACCGGGGCAAGAGGCCCTCCGAGGTGGCTAAGTCCCACTGGTGTGTTTCTAGAAAACATTTCACCCAGTTTCTAGATTGGGGCTGCCAACTGTTTAGATTGCTTGGCAAACTTAGGGGAGGGGAGGGAAGAGAAAACAGTCAAAAGCATAAATGAACAACCATCAGATTACTTAAAGGGAATGTGGTCAAACTCCAAAGAGTTCTGTATTAGACACTTCAGGGACTATCCACAAACCCTTTTCTATGGAAACTGTCCCCATTTTCCCAACCACAGGGGTTGACCCCAGAACCCGTTTGTACTACAACACCTTGATTTCTAGCCTTAGCTGATTGGGTCAAAGGTAGCCACTTGACCCCAAATAGGCCAATCAGATACTCCCTCCCAAGAGTCCAGAATTCAAACAAATTCCTGGACTTGGGTGGCCATCTTCTACCATGTGTGGACAGGCAGAGAAAGCCAAAGTATGGAGGAGAGAAGAATGAAATATCTATAAAGGAGATCTCCCCAAAGAGAGTGAGAAAGAAAGTAGGTGTTTTTTTTGTTTTTTTGTTTTGTTTTTACAGATCTCCAACGACTGCTTCCTCTCTCTCCTGAGATGAGGCAGTATTTCCAACCCTTGGATTCCTCTCTTTATTGGTTTAAAAGAGTTTCTGCGACTCACAACTGAATTATTTCTGGCTAAAACAAGTTCACAGAACAATAATACCTAACCCATTAGTTATTTTAGCTAGTAAACCATTTACATAGGACTTTCACAGGCCTATCTTGTTGGATCCTTACAACCGTAAGTGAACCATTTTAGAGGATACTGAAACCCAGCTGGTTTAGACAGATTAGCCAGAGTCACAAAGTTAGTAAGAGGTGACAACAACCATGTAACTGAACTAGACAGTGAGCTTCTTGAGGGCTAGAAGAGATTTGATTTACCTTTGATTCTGGTGCAGGCTGTAGAAATTCAAATACCTACACAGGAGTGGAGGGAATGTGGCAAATTGGAGCCTGAGAGCCCCATCGATAGGTGGCAGTCAGCTCCAAGTAATTGTTGCCATGTAGACACATAGGCCTACAGATGTCAGATCTTCCAAAATTATCAAAAGAAGCCAAACCATTTCAATTTTTATATGTAGACTTCTGCACATTTGGTTGGCAAACAACTCAGATTAAAACAATAACAGCAACGGTACATGCACCTAACAAAACATGTATGAGTCACCAGTTTTCTCCTGCCATTGTGTATAGTACATAGTAGTTACTATTTGTTTATCCGTCCATCCCTCCATTCAAATACTTATAAAGCACCTACTCTGTGCCAGGTGCTATTGTTAGTGGCTGGGGATACAATGATGAGCAATATAGCCATGTTTCTTGTTTCCAAGGAGCTTATTCTCTTGTGGGGAAGACAGATGAGAAACAAACCCACGAGATAAGGGAGATAAGGATGGGAAAGTACAAGATACTATGAAAATATAGAGGGTGGTTGTGACATTGTGATTTATATTCAGAAATATATATATTTGACCTTCATCACTTCTAGGCACAGAGCTCCTAAAACCCTTGGAACTTCCTAAGTGGTAAGATCAGTAAAGGTGTTTTATGCAACAAGCCCCGGTCAATCACACCTGAGCTTGTTAGAGCGGTGACTTTATGAAAAGCCTCTAAGGATGAGGCTGGTTGCCAAGGAAACCAACTCTATGATCAGAGGGTTGGAACTTTCAGCCCTCACCCCTGCCCCCATCTCTGGTTGTTACCTGTACTTCTGACTGACTGGTTATATTTCAAAGTTTCCCATGACCCCCTCTCCTTAGGTTTAATTAATTTGCAAGCACTGGGTCACAGAACTCAGAGAAACATGTTGCTTGATCACCAGTTTACTGTAAAAGAATATTTAACTCAGGAACAGCCAGACGGAAGAGATGCATAGGGCAAGGTATACGGAACGAAGGTGGTGCTTCCACGCCCTCTCTAGGTGCGCCACTCTCCCCACATCTCCATGTGTTCACCACCCTGGATGCTCTCTCTCTCTGAACCCTCTCCTTTTGGGGTTTTATGAAAGTTTTATTACATAGTCATGGCTGATTAAATCACTGGCCACCAGCAATTGATTCAACCACCAGCTCCTCTCTCCTCCCTGGCGGTGGGGAGAGTATTACTGAAAGTTCCAACCCTCTAATCACCAGCTTAGGTGTCCTGGTGACCAGCCCACAACCTTAGGTACTTTCCCAAAGTCACCTCATTACTATAACAAAAGACGCCTTTATCACTCTCAATACTTCGGAAGTTCCAAGGGTTTGGGGAGCTGTGAGCCAAGAACTATGGACAAAGACTAAATACGTATTTCTTATAAATCACAATATCTGAAATCTGAAAGATGCATAGTAGCCAGGTGATGAGAAAGGGAAAAGCCCTCCAAACAGAGAGAATAATAATACACGCAAAGGTTTGGAGACCAGAATTCAAGATGTGTTCAAGAATCCAAAGGACACTCAATGTAGCAAATGGGGATTTGGGAAAGCCATGAAATAAAGTTGGGAAAGGCTTGACATGCAGGAGTGACACGGTCAGACTTGTATTTTAGACAATACTCTCTGGCTAAGTATGGAAAATGCACTGCAGACGGGGCTAAACTTGGAAGCAGGGAGACCAGAGAGGAGGCTGTGGTAATCTAGTTGAGAGATGACAATTCTTGGACTACAGTGGTAGTGGAAATGGACAGACATGGATGAAGAGAGAACTATTTAGGGCTTAGTGATTAATTGGATATGTGGATGGAAGAGGAGGTGGAGTCATCAATGTCTCCCGGAGAAGTAGTTGATAAATGAACGGCTGGATGTCCAGGGCTCCATACGGACTCTTTCTCCCAAAACATGATGTACTGGTTGGGTGCTCTGCTGAGACCTTAGGGACCTCTCAGTAATGTTCATTTTCTTAGAGGAAAACCCTGCTGTGTGTGCTGAACTGGTGTTCCTAGGAATGCTCTGGTCCTGGCCAGCACCACAGAGCCCTGCTCTCTGGCTACAGGCACATGCTCTGCCGCTGCTGGTCTTACCCAGGTCCATGGTGTGCACATCGGAGAAGCTCCTGTTTGGATCTGCTCCCCCAACAATGAAGACCTTCCCTCTCTTGGCATCACCAACGGGGGGTAAATACGAGCAGCTGTGGCCAACCCGAGCACATGGGCTGTCTCCAGCGGGGGTCAACGTGTACCTGCCAAAGGAGGGATGTATTCAGGAGGCCTGAGCAGAGAATAAGTGCAGCAGTGTGTTCTTCCTATTCCTCATGAAATATTCATAAGAATGAGGGTCTTATACAGACACAGAACACTTTAAACTGTGTCCAGCAAAGCAGCATTTCCACTTGCACATAACCTCTAACTTTCCAATTTTGTTATTACTTTCATTTCACATTAACCTAATGGTAATGCACTGGGTTAGTAACTGTCCCCATCTGGTGGATAAACTGACACCCAGAGACATTCAGTGGTGTGTCTGAGCACAGGATGGTAGTTCTGAGCTTAGTCTGTGAATTCAGGCAGACCTAGTTCAAGTCTAAGTTCAGGTGCTTTCTAGATGTGTGACCTTTTGGAAGCCACTTAACCTTTCTGAACCGAAATTTCTTTATTTGTAAAACGATAGCAATAGTTCTTACCTGTGAAGAGTAAGATGAAGTCTTGTAAGAGTGCAGGGAAGGACTCGGTACATGGTGGCTAGAGCTCTATGTGCAATCACACAGGAACCTACAGCCCCGGCACTCTTGCCACTAGACAGTGCTGCTTCCTGCTCTCAAGTAATATTCACCAGAGTCTACTGATTTTCAGAGCTGATGGAAGCCAAAGCTAGGACTTTGGAAAGTCAAATACAGGATCCAGTTATTCCACTCTTTAAAGTTATTCTGAATTATGATTGAGAAATGATTGGAAAACTTCCTGCTTGGAAAAGACAATCCTGTAGCTATTTTTGAGGCCCTGTCTTATCTGACCTCTTTGGCTCCTTCTTTCTTCTTGTACCTTCTCCTTACCTAGCTACTCCACTCTCCTCCTTTTTGGTTCTCTACCCACTTTTTCAGAGGCTCTTTCTGACTCCTTCTCTGACTCCTTTCCCACCAGCCTTCTAACCCTCAGTACCCTTGGATTGTCTTTTCAGCCTATGTTTGCTTACCTGATCCATTTTACCTGTATGGACGACTTTAGTTACCACCTATCTATATATTCATGAGTGATTTCCAAAATCTTTATTTCTTTTCCAGATCTCTGGTCTGATGTTCAGATTCACAGATCCCATTACACCTGAGTAATTACTACAACGTACCCTGCATGCTGCTAACTTCATTACAACCCCAGTTGCACTTAATCTGCACAAAACCCCTTTGAGGACAGTAAGTACTGTTATCATCATCATTTGAGTTTTACAACTGAGGACCCAAGGCTTGGGTAAGGTTAAATAACTTAGCCATCCAGACACATGGTGAATAAGACAACAAAAGGTCCATGCCTTCACAGCCCTTAAAGACTAGTTGAGAAGAGAAACATTAAACAGACAAGTTCAAAAATATCTGTTTCATTTAAATTGCACTATAAAGGAGTACAGGGTAGACAGTATTAGAACATATCATAGGGGCACCTTACCCTGTAAGGAGGTAGGGGAGGTAGGTAGTCAGGGAAGGCTTCCTGAAGAAGCACCACTTGAACTGAAATCTGATGTATGGGTAGAAGTTAGTTGGACAAAGAGAGAAAGATGGAGGGAAAGAGTGATCCAGGTACAGCGACCAGCACATACAGTTGCTGAGTGGGACAGGGCAAGGCATGTTAAGGAAGAGAAAGAGAACAAAGGATGAGCACAGGGATTTGAGGTCGGAAAGACAGGCAGGGGCAGATCATGCAGGGCCCCGTGGGCCATTTTATGGACTCTGGTTTTGATCCTAAGACCAAATGGGGAGGCACAAAAGGGTTTTAAACTAGGGAATGCCATGGTCAGATTTATGTTGTGTAGAGGGCAAGAGTGGACACAGGGAACAGCCTTCTAACCCTCAGTACCCTTGGATTGTCTTTTCAGCCTATGTTTGCTTACCTGATCCATTTTACCTGTATGGACAACTTCAGTTACCACCTATCTATATATTCGTCAGTGATTTCCAAAATCTTTATTTCTTTCCCAGATCTCTGGTCTGAAGTTCAGATTCACAGATTCCATTGCACCTGAATAATTACTAACAACGTACCCTGCATGCTGCTAACTTCCTTACAACCCCAGTTGCACTTAATCTGCACAAAACCCCTTTGAGGACAGTAAGTACTGTTATCATCATCATTTGAGTTTTACAACTGAGGACCCAAGGCTTGGGTAAGGTTAAATAACTTAGCCATCCAGACACATGGTGAATAAGACAACAAAAGGTCCATGCCTTCACAGCCCTTAAAGACTAGTTGAGAAGAGAAACATTAAACAGACAAGTTCAAAAATATCTGTTTCATTTAAATTGCACTATAAAGGAGTACAGGGTAGACAGTATTAGAACATATCATAGGGGCACCTTACCATATAAGGAGGTAGGGGAGGTAGGTAGTCAGGGAAGGCTTCCTGAAGAAGCACCACTTGAACTGAAATCTGATGTATGGGTAGAAGTTAGTTGGACAAAGAGAGAAAGATGGAGGGAAAGAGTGATCCAGGTACAGCGACCAGCACATACAGTTGCTGAGTGGGACAGGGCAAGGCATGTTAAGGAAGAGAAAGAGAACAAAGGATGAGCACAGGGATTTGAGGTCGGAAAGACAGGCAGGGGCAGATCATGCAGGGCCCCGTGGGCCATTTTATGGACTCTGGTTTTGATCCTAAGACCAAATGGGGAGGCACAAAAGGGTTTTAAACTAGGGAATGCCATGGTCAGATTTATGTTGTGTAGAGGGCAAGAGTGGACACAGGGAAGCCAGATTGAAGACTCCCTTGCAAGGTCCTACAGAAGCTCTGGCCCATCCATCTCTACAGCCTTTTATGGTCCCTGCTTCAGCACAGGTCACATTTCATCACCATCACCTGCTTCGTCTGTTAGCCCCCACTACAGTGAGACTATTCACCTTTGTATGTCCAGCACCTACACAGCAGCTGCCCCTGTCAGGCCAGTGTCAGTTATTGAATGAAGGGTTGATTGAGCATGCAGCCAAGAAACAGGGAAGCCAGTTAAATCCAAAGCCGATTCCCTGAATATCTTAAAAACGAGTCACAGCTTGGGGGGAAGACACAGGGTTGAAGCTGAGGATGCCAGATGGCCAGGGCCTTCCTCTTCCTGGTAAGTGGATTTTAATAAAATCAACATCTGCTCTGATAATTATTGCCCCACTACCTTTCCTCTGAAGACCTTCTCAAATGGTTTGAGGCTAATTACCAGAATCTGCCCACAGTTTTATCTCTACCCTTTTCAATAGATGTTTAAATATGTTAGTAAACCACTTATAAATGAAACAAAAACTTATGTTTTTCTCTGTCTGCATCCTTCCTTACAGACCATGTTGCTTTCCTGGGCTTGTCTCCAGGCTCCAAGACTGGCAGCTGCTTCATGGTGCTCTACATACAAGAAAGAAAGGCACTTTTTAGAAATTTATGATTATCTTCTACCTAAAACACAGAATTAGGTCGCTTCCCTCTTTAAAACCTTTCCTGTTGATGTACCAATTTCTAGGATCTGATGAATTTGAATAAGCATTACCAACCTTTTGATAGCAAGGTATATTTGAGAGGCAAATATAAACACAACTTTCTAAACACAATTACAGGAGTGTTTTGGCTACAGTTTTCAGTGTCTGTAATTTTCATGCAGAAGAGGCATACATCAAAATAAATTTTCAGAGGTCAAGCTTATGTTTATCAAAAGATAAAAACATTTTCAAAGGCTGACAAATACTGAACTCTAGAATAAATCCTAGCCTCATCATCACATTCAAAGGTTTCTGATATCAAACTTTTTTCCAGAAACTCACTCCAGTTTCTTGCTATATTGAGTTGTTCTTGCTATATTTGTTCCTCTAACATGACAAGCCCTTTCATAACTTGCATCTCCTGCTGTTTCCCTTACCTGAAATGTTCCTTCCCTTCCTTTCAACCAGCAAACTCCTAGGTAACCTCCACAACCCGGTTGGAATGAACCCTCTTCAGTAAAATCTTCATTGATTTGCTGCTTTCCACTTACCATCCTCAAATTACTTCCTTCTCCTTCTGAAGGTATCTATTAAACCACCATCATTGCAGGGATCACCATGAATGTAATCACCTACAAAAACGTCTCTAGACTAGATTCTAGTCTAAATTCCAAGAGAGCTGGGCCTGTCGAATGCCTTCAGAAAACCTACCTACGGGTCCGGCATGGAGTAGAATTGAAGGATGAGTGAATGAAGAAAGTGGATGAGATTTCTGGCAGGTGAATGGATAAATCCAACCTTGGCCGTAAGCCACTGCCTGCTGTCCCCAAAGCCCAAAAGCTCAGTGGGATAAACTTCGTGTGGGCGGGGATATCTCCAGTCTCGTCCCCGCGTGGCAATGACAGGGGACAGGAGACAGGGTCGGGGGAGAACAGGCCGGCCCCTTCCCATCCATGTGCCCAGACCAGACCCGGAGGAGGCCCTCCCCAACCCGGCCCGGGCCCACTTCCACTCCCCTAAAGGATGAGGCCGCCCCCGCCCCAGGATCGTCCTGTGACCCCCCAGCCCAGACCGCATTACCTGCAGCGGCTTAGGCCAGTCCCGAGCTGTGGCTCCGCCCCCCAAGTGGGCGGGGCTTTGGCCGTCACTCAGTCCCAGACCCGGAAAAGCGAGGCAGCCAACTGCTCCCCCGCCCCACTTGCAGGGTCCAGCCCCCAGGGATCGCCCTTAAAGGGGGCGGGGCGGGGTCCTCGGGGCTGGGATGTAGGCGATTCATTTCCGGGGCACCAATTAGGGCTGTTCTTGGGATCTTAACCTGCCTGCGGAATCAGAAAACCAGGGCTGCTTGGAAGGACTTACAAGAGAAATGCTGGAGGTTGGGCGTCCACGTGGGTGACCGATTGTGGGTTATCCTAGAGGGGCTGGGATATTTTCAGTTCCAGCGGCTGTTGGAAATGGTTTCTGGGTGAGATATGAAGATGGAAGCCCAGAGCTGCTTAAGAGAGCCGCCTGTGAATGAAGCCAACACAGGAATTAAGAGGGCCAGGAGATGGAGCGTGCCTGGATCCAGCCATGCCTGAAGCCAAAATTACCTCTTTGAACATTTCATTTATGTGAGCGAAAAGTTTTTTTTTTCTTAAGCTAATTTGACTTCTTAATTTTACTCCTTATAAATAAAAGATTCCTAATAAATGACCTCTCGGTAGGAAGAAAAAAAGGAAATGGTTTCTGAAAGGGAGAGTTAAGGATGCTTTCCCAAGTGAGAAATCTCCCTGCGTAGCCTTTAGGCCAGTTCAAGTTTTACCGCCTTTAAATGGCTGACTCACTCCAGAATTAGCCTGTATAATAACCATGGCAGGCACTATGGAGAACCAGACAAGGTCCTGGCCCCCCTGGAGTTTACAATCGAACTAGAGAGAGAGATTAAACAAAAACAAACAACTAGGTACCTTTGTAAAAAGTGCAAGGAATAGAAAGTCCGTCCACGAGAGTATGTATCCTTGGGTATCTATACTTTTCTCTGGGCCTCGGTGTCGCTCCTGTAGGATGGAGCTAAGATTTCATAATCACAAGGTTATGATGGGGAATACATGAGCTAATGTATTTAAAGGGGTCAGTGCCCAGCCGCTGGTGCAGAGCTGGTCCTCCGTAAAGTGTAATGTTCTAGCTATAAACCAACTCTAGACACAGTCCTGAATGGGAAGTATTCATCTGCCTTATCTCTGGTCTCCATAACCATCAGTTCTCTGTGGCTTTCCTCAAAATGGATAGGTGGCTCACCTATGTCTATGTTTTAGAGAATCTCGAAACCACTTAGGAGGGTTGAGGCCAGTTGTAGCGTAGGAAAGTAGGAAACAGCCAAGAACAACAACAGGAGCTCCTTAAGTACAGCTATGGTAGCTTAGTGGGAAGAAGAAAGACACACTTGGGTTCAAATCCAGGCTCCAGCACTAACCATCTAACCCTGACATTTGGCAAGTTCATTACCCGCTCTGAGCCCTAGTTCCCTCATCTCTACAACGGGGAATAGTAATACCTACCTCCCAGAGGGAGCAGCTGTGAGGATTCGATAGTACAGGTGAAAAGCCAACTTGGTAAATCTTCTAGCTACTTGAAACCATTATGAAAATTTATTGACAAAATGGGATGTGAGGTCCGAGCTCTCCTCACTGTTCAAACACCCTATTTCAAACATCTGGAGTCTCTGTGACTGCCCATATTAATGGGAAAATCTCCACTGACTGTCTGCCTAAGAGGAGTTTAGGAATATTCAGTCATTCTGATTTCCTTCAGCAAAGAAAACCAAGGCCAGGTTGGCTCTGCCTTATGCCCATGTGCATCTACATGGAGATTTTTGCTCAGAGCTGCAGAATGCTTTGACATCCCTATGTCTTTTGGCTAGATCCATTTCAAGGTGACATGGTGGAGTTGTGCACAAACAAAAATTGGAAGAGGTTTGTGGGCGAAAGAGCAACTAGTTTTAATTGTGG